TCTATGTACCATGCAAGGACCAAACACATAGATGTGAGATATCATTGGATTCGTGAGCAGGTGACGAACAAATCTTTACAGGTCAAAAATATTCACACAAGCGAAAATCCTGCGGATATGCTGACCAAAGTGGTACCAAGAGACAAGTTTGAGCTATGCAAAGAACTTGTCCACATACACTCAAACTAGAAACTGTGGTGTTATCCCCTTCAGGTGAATGGGACTGGAGGGGGAGATCTGTGGGGTCCAGCCCACATTTTAAGGAAGTTGTTTTCTTCCTTTCTTCTTCATTTTCAAAGTTGGCAGAAGCAGGCAGCCCACGTTTCTCATTTTTCTGTCAAAAATGACAGGCTGCAGAAGTTGAAAGGTCAAGGTTGGTAGGCATATTTTGCCTATAAAATGAGAGCTTCGGCTCTCATTCTTTGATCACAATCTCAGAGGAAAATATATCTGAGAGCTAGAAAGAAAGAGTGAGGTATGAGAAAATAGTCTGTGAAGAAAATAGAGAGTGTGAACAATATTGTAGTGAGGTGAAATATCAAAAGAGGGTTATTTCTTTTGAGTATTGTAGTGGTCTTTGTAGTATTTTACTCGGGCCTACAAAGAGTAAATTCCTTACTATAGTGATATCAGTTGCTCCGTGGTTTTTCCCTTATTCAGAAGGGTTTTCCACGTAAAAATCTTGGTGTCATTGTTACTCTTTTATTCTTGTTAATTACCGTATCTCAGTGATACATTATTATTCCGCTTTTATTACCGTGAATATTATTTTTTAGGGGGTTTATTTCCAACAAGATGCAGCATTGCACGCGCAAAAACTTCAAGCAGAGGTTTGGTTATTTCCCTTGCAAAGCTTCATTGTGCCTTTAGACTTATTTCTTTAGTTACCTTATAATCATTCAAAAAAATTCCATGTACCTCCCGGAGTTCTCTTCTTCTAAATTGGTTAATGGTGATCTTATGCATGAAAATGTTCATTTGGTTCCTGAGAAGTACTGCATGACAGGAAAATCTATTAAAAACGACTGCGGTATGGACATTCTTTGGAATTGTAATACAGAAGGGGAAAGATTTTAATTAATGAATTTTTTATCACAAGCAGCAGATTAAAACCCTTTTTTATAATAATATAGAAAAACTGACATTCATTTATCTTACTAATATTGGCTACTTACTTTCTAATTTATTATTTAATTATGTCTTGTGGGGTTGGAATCATGGACTGATATCTTTGTGGCTTGATGTTCTCTGGGAGCTTTCTGATATTTCCCCATCATATAAGCGACTTGGTTGCTTTTTTGATGATTTAACTGACAGTTTTAATTTCCGCCTGTGCAGAAAACATTGTACAATGTCTGGAGGAATACGTCGGATTTATGGGCTTTTGTTACTAAAAAGAGACCTGCACTCCAACAGCTGAAGCTGAAGTTGAAGCCTTTTGCAGTCTTAAATGAAAAGGTAATGTATCTTTATAACATATGATTCGAATATCATCCCTGATGTTTTAATCTTTATGTTTTTAGTGTTTTCCAGAAAAATCTGTGGATTGTAAATTTCTAGAACTTTCTTATTATAGGATGATCCAGTTCAAAATGAAGATTTGAGTTTAGACCATATCTTTTGTCTTTTCTCGTCTGATATAGGCAATCATTGGCTTGTGGTTGAAGTTTGTAGCGATGGAAAGCAGGAATTTCATGTGGAATTCCATGAATTTTCCTCTGGCTTAGTTCAAATCATTGAACATTATATGAATGTAGTCCCCTTTTTCTGATGAGTTTCTTGTCATAATTGAACTATTAGGTATGAGTAGGACGCATTCACTTGTTAGCGAGAAGAATGCACCATTTTTAGGTACTATCCTGTTATCTGGAATCTGACACCCATAAAATGCTTGAGGTTTGATGTGAATATGTGAATTTAGATATCTTCTGTTCATAGTAGTGAAAGCTTTTAAACCTAGAATTTTGAGCTTGATTTTTTCTTACACAGAAAGTCTGTAGTCAGGTTTCCAGATTTCTTCGTAGTTCCTTTCCTTATGCTGATTTGACTTCTCTGTATCTGGATATAGTTTGAAAATGAGGGTTCAGAAGAATGGTATGTAACTATATCATTTTTTCTTTTAAGGAGGGGGGTTGAAGGAGAGGGGAGTATGAGGTTTTTGTAGCATAACTGATGTTAAAACTCACATTCATTTGTTCAGTAGACAATATGATTTCTATTTGGATGTGGCGTTATTGTTTAAACTGATTTTTTTCTGGAAATGATTGCTTCAGCTCACCTACCTCGATGAGTGGGCTTCAATCGAAAGGGATCATACCAGTTCAGTATCCCATGCTATACAATATCTACAGGCATGCACTCTCCGTCTTCCAATAATTGGACGACCAAAGGTATGCAACTTGACACTTAGTGTTCTGAGATCAATGATTCCTAAGACATAGAGTCTTATTCGAGTTGGCTTTTTACAGGGTGATATTGAAAGTGTTAAGGAAGCTGTTTGCTCAGCTGTTGATGTAATGCAGGCAATGGGATCCTCCATGCGTACGTTTTATATTGCCTAGGGTAACTTCTTACATTATTTTAAGTTGTATTTTTTCTTGTTCTTTCTTACCATTAATTTACTTTCCGTTTCTCTAGTGTTTAAGTAACATAAAATGCAATAGCAAATGGGACCAAATGGTGTTGTCTTTTACTATCAGGCTTTGTACAATCCTCAATTGTTGTTTGAGATGAGGGAAGTGAGAGAGCTGATATTAGAGAGATAGAAAAGTCATTAGCACATAGTTTTCTGTAACAGANGAGAAACTCAAAAAGTAAAGTCCCACCATGTCTAGCTTAAACATCTTAGGAGGTTAGCTCAGTGCTTAGGGCAGCCACGTGCACTAAGTTCCCGCTATGCGCAGGGTCCAGGGAAGAGCCAGACTACAAGGGTCTATTGGATTTCTGCAAGAGGTTGTTTCCACGATTTGAACCCGTGACCTCCTGGTCACATGACAACAACTTTACCGGTTACGCCAAGGTTATCTAAGTATTTGATAGTACATATAGTTCATGTAAGGAGTGTTTGTCATCTTCATTCTAAGCCTGCGCTAATTCATTTTCCATCTCTGTTCCAAATACATTACACGATGGACGGAATAGCGTGTACATTTTGATGTTCCATGTCCGATGAACTTGATTATCTAGTGCGATTACTTGACAATAATGCAGGTAGAAGAATATAGCATTAGGTCTCATCTTATACAATTGAAACAAGCTTGGAGAAGTGATGAGCAGCTGATACTTGGGAATTAGATAGCTTTTACCAAATGCTTCTCAAATGCAATTCTAACCAACTCTTCCTCGTCAAATGAATAATATGCCACATCTCCAGCCTTAGCTATTGTGTATAGTAATAGTTTTTTTTTTCATTCTAATTTATCATGGGAAATCTTGAATTATTCCATTCTTTTTTCTTATTTCTTTCTCCACATATCTTGCAAAAAGCTGTCGTCCCTATCCTAATGTAACTTTTTGTATCATCAACAAAAAAATAAATGCAAAGGAAGAACAAGATTCAAAATTAGTTATAGAAAAGAAGCAAACTTACCAAAAATCATCTCACGTTCTTAAAGTTTTCCTTAAACTCAAAGTTTTCTATTTATTCATTTACATACAAACAAATTTGACAATCATTTTTTCTATTGATCACTTAAGATTGGGATTGGAAATCATAAATAGAGAGCAAGTGACCATTGCTAAAGAAGATGACTCACTTTGACATAATATTATTTGAGTCTAGTTCTGTTCATTTATTGAACCATTGACAGCTCTATGCATATTTTGCTTTAAATTTTTTGGAAAAGCATTCAAATTTGTCCTTGTATTATTCGGAATTGCTCAAATTTGCCATTTATTGGACTTTAAGTTCATTGATACCCTTGCTTTTAGTAAATGTTTATTATTTACACCATTAAGAGACTTTACTCCCTCCGTCTCATATTATCTGTCATGATTCTCTTGTACACCCCTCAAAATATAATTAATCTTTAATCTTTTTTTCATTGGTATTTGAACAAAGTTATCCATAATTGAGGTATTTGTAGTCTTCAAGGATAATTATTATTAAGGGAAAAAAGGAAAAAGGTTTTCAATTTTATCTTGAACTTCTAAAGTGAAATAATTTGAGACAACTATTTTTAATAATCATGATTGATAATATGAGACAGAGGGAATATAATGTTTGTGCTTACCAAACAGATATACTAAATTGGGAGAATTTAAGTAGATTGTTCAAATGTGTGCAAGTAGGAGCATCAAATAACAATAACATAACAAAGGGCATTTTAATTTGTTTAAAGAATTAGAAAATCTCCAATTCATAGGTCAGTAAAACAAATCCTTCGGGGATCATTCACAAAGTTCCAAAACAACCTTAGCAATTTAGCTTATACAAAGGTTAAAAGTAGTTTATGCAACAGCCTCAGCTTTCTATCTTGGATCAATAATCTGACTGGACTTATTCCTAAATTTCCAGCCAGAACTTTCATGTATGTGTTCTCTTCCTAATTCTTACTATGTTACATTAAACATGCGTGAATATATATATATATNTGAAATCATGTATCAAGCCGAGAGTTTCGGAAACAATCTCTTTACCTTCACAAGGTAGGGGTAAGGACGGCGTAAATACTACCATCCCCAGACCCACAGAGTGGGATCTGAAGAGGGTAGTGTGCAGGAGCCCTTATCCCTAGCTGGTGGGTACTTCTTGCAAACAAAGATCCACAGTGAATAAAAGTGTAACCCCTACATCAAATGTTTAAAGAGGTATCATCTATTACAATGGCGTGTGCATGCTAATTTTGGGCACCGCCATTCAGCAACAGCACATGCCAAGTTACAAGAAGAGATCCACTATTTACAAATGGAAGAGCAAAACAGAGCAAAAGCAAAGTGGGAACATTGAAAGCAACCAACACTTGTTTAAAACTCGCAAATCACAATGATATTATCAAACAATCGTATCACGAGCGTGTACATTGTCATGAGGCTGATTTCATCATTGTGATTGCTAGTTACCCACTGAACATGACAGTCCCCTTTTGAGGCTGAAGTTTTATTTAGTCTTCATTATCATCATCCTCAGCACCTACCTGAATAAGCTGATACCCGATCATAATGCGTATATGCGATTTTCTGGGAGTGAGATCTGTTCCAAACCGCTTGCCTGCAGAAGAAAAAAATCATCTTGCACTGGTTAGAAACAAGGTGAGTGCTCCTTTGGAACAAAAAATATCTTGCTACTACAACCTTGTGGAGAATGTAGATCAAGTTTTTTTTATCTATAACTTGACTACCAGAAGATAATCAATGAGACCCAGCATCTTTTTTCTCTTAGTACCCCAAAACATTAGCCAAGAGAATAGAAATTACCACTCTGGATATATGAAAACTCGAATATGCAATGGCGTAATAGTGTAGCAAAAAGGATTATAGAGAAGAACACATCGAATGATGAGATCCCCAGAAGATAAAAAGAAACAGAGAAAGCACTACAAAATTCAGAGTCACTTGGACTCAATTTATCAGGAACACCGCTAGTTGATTCCTCTTCAGGTTCCTCCTCATCGGCATCTTTTTCCTGCTCAGATTCATCTTCTGACTCATTTACATTATTCTTCTTCGCAGCCTTTTCTGATGCCGTTTCGGTCTTCTTTTGGCTCTGTAAATAAACCAGAGACATGATGTGAAAAGGTCACAGAACTCAAAGAAAATACTGGCGTGAATGCACAAAACTCTCCCCTATCCTTTCTCTCGATTTCCATCTATTTCTTTTTCCATTTGGAAGGATGTAACAAGAAACAGCTCAAATTAAAAAGCTCTATGGTAATAAACATAACAAATGTTAAAGCATTAGCAGCAATCCAGACAGCATAATTTAGCTCATTGAGTACTCCACTTCTTTTACACCCAAAGATAAAAGTTCCTCACTCTCTCCAAAATCAGGATTAGAACACGATATCTTCCCAGACAAAGCCAACTCAAACAGCAGAGAAACTTTGCGAACAATTTTGTCAGCTTCTATGCTGTTAACTCATATGATGATTTTTTATTAACCCTCTGAGACCTTAGGATGTGGATGTGGAAATTCAAGTTGAGAACAGGCAAACGTACAACCAAGGAGCTTTGAAATGAAATTTAATAAATTTATTGTTAATCAAATTTCTCCATGAAATTTCATATAGGCCACAGAGAATACAAGTTAGCAGTTGCAAGCCAAAATCATCTCTCAGTTTGTATTTCAGTACTAAAACATAGTTAAACGTTGATAAGAAAGAAACATACCATTGGCTGAACCTTTCGAACTAACAGATGCTGATGAGGGATTTTTTGTGCTCTCTCTTCTGCGCTTCTTTCCTTTACTTGACTAATCATTTGACCAGAGATGCATCAGTACACTATAAATAAACAGAACAATCACAGATGCTTTTATCACATTCAGAGGTCAACCTGTTCCTTCTCAGCAAGCAACTCAACAGTCGTACCATGACGAGCTTCCAAAAAGTCCATCAACTTTGGCACTATGTCCTCCTAATGCATATGAACTCTTAATTAGTTAAGATACTTGGAAGGAAGATTATATACAAATGCCAAATCTCCACGTAGTATGAAGTGCCAAGTTGAGGATTAAAACAATGCCTTCACTCTTAAGACCCTTTCTCTTTTTGATATGTAATTCACTCATAAGATAAATTACAGCTGACTAATTTAAGAAAGAACTACTTGAGTCAAATAAAAAAGACCTAACATGCAGCAAAAGATATGAACTCGCCTTCCTTGCTGTATAGTGGTGAACAGGTATATTTAGTTCAATGCAGAATGTCAACAGCTTCTGTTCGGAATACTTGTCAAGCTTTTCTTTTACTTCCATCTTTTTATCTTGCAACTTACGATGATATAACATCAAGCATTCTAAAAGCTCAATCATAAGATAATCAATGAGATACATTTACAATCAGTACGACCAAGCAAGCAAAGAGAAGGTTAATGTTCAAAGTTTCCCAAACCACCATCGCAGGTATGAAAAAGCAAGATATTGGATAGTCATTTACTCATCTATGCATCCTTTCGCAACATGAGATGTCCATTACCTCCATTCACGCAACACAGAGTAAGGAAACTGTGAATTTGGTGTTCTCGATCTGAGCCTGCAAAGGACAAGAACTATAAGCGAAAAGAATAAAATGTTGAACAAGCACGACGAGATGAGAAGTGAATATCATTCTATCGGGTATAAGTCGCTGACTAGTTCCATAAGCGGAGATCAAGTATCATAAGGAATAGTCCTAATCAATTGTCGGTAGAAGGATCGTGCGAAATGCTTTGAATCATCATCATTGCCAGATGAAAGAAGGAAAATCCTGAGAAATCCCGAGTATAACAAAATGGTAGAGAAATCACCAAAGCTTTGAATCCAATGCCTACTATCTGGTAAATATTTCTCACAGATAATAAAACTTTCTGCTTGCTTGCAAAGAAGAAAAGTACCATATATTGCCATCTCAAAGGAAGAATGATATGGCACTCGTGTGGAAAATATGCCTCTTTAGAAACTTGTGATCCAAAAAAAAAAAAAGGAATAAACCATTCCTTTTCATAAAGAAATACAAACTTTTCATGGAATGACGCTGCAAATGATTTCATATTTTTCTTTACATCATTTTAATTCTCCACATTGTTTTGACTAGCGAATGAAGAAAGGTAGACTAACAAGATGGCCAAAATAAATGGCTTTAAAACCCACAATATTTGTTCTCGAGTAAAATGACATAAGCAATTTCTTCAAGATAAAAGAAATAATTGCAACTTCTCCACACTTCACTACAATTTTACCTAGATAAATGGATTGCTGATAGAAAATAGTAGAGAACCAACAGCCAACTCATCCCAACTGATAAATGTTGTGTTGTCACCAACTATTTTCAAAAGAACCCTACAACTCATGCCAACTGATCAAAGTTGGGTGGTCACCAACTATTTTCAAAAGATCTCCACAACTCATAATTTTCTTTCCTACTTTCAACTACTACCCCATCTATTTTACTCTCATATTTATCGATTTAACCACCTCAACATTTACAAAATCTGTTAAGGCATGCAAACAATGGATGCAAGAGCGTATTATTAAGTTGTCCTTTTAAGTCTTGAAGACATACCTTTATCCGCCTATTGTTCCACTTAGTAATACTTGCTATAGTCCTCCAGACCTTCATTTCCTTGACCTTCTTGCTTAGCAACTTCCACAGGCAAGGAAGAGCGCCAAAGTCAGCAATGCGCTGAGTTATGAAGATGGTTGACATTAGTAAAAAATAAGGCAATATCCATGTCTGACGCAGTTACGTTTTAGAAGAAGATCGAAACAAAACACAAAAATAAAAAATCTGGTGTAGTCTTTGCACAGTGTGCTCATTCTCAACAATTTAGCACATTGAAGGAAGGATGATGTTATAGTAACTTAACAGAACAGCATAGGAGACAATTAGTCCCAAGACACTAGTAAAATTAACAAGGGTGAGTCAAACTCTCTTTCCCTTTTCACACTTGAGGTATGCAAGATGTGTACAAGGGGCACAATCCATCAACAAGAAAGCTGCTTGAAAGAAAACTCTTCAAGTATCAACTGAATTCTCTTTTTATTTTATTTTTCCAAGAAAAGGCAAGTACCAACTGTATTCTCATTTCAATCAATATCACATAACTTCAAGCTCATATTTTGCAAAATAAACTCAGCAAAAAACACCTATAGAAAAGAAAATAGCTTGTGATACAGACCTCTCCATAGCATCTTAAGGGGTCGTTTGGTAGGATGCATAAGAATAATGCTGAATATGGTGTATTAGTAATGTTGGTATTAGTTATGCTTGCATTAGTTATGCTGGTATTAGTTATGCTGACATATTTCTTATCCATTGTTTAGTTTGATGTATTAAAGCATTGCACAATTTCTAAAAGAATTGCTTGTTTACAAAAATACCCTCAAAACCAGTCCATCACTCTAAAACTTTTTAAAAGAAACATATGTTGAGAAATATTTTTATATGAAAAAGTTTAAAAAAATTATTTGATTTGTCTACCTATATTGTAATATAGAACTAAATATTTATATATAAAAAAGGAAATATGCTAAGTATTTTTTTATTTACTAGATATATAATTTTATTTCGCACTATTTGAATTATTTTAAACTTGCATTAATATAATAACTAGCATATTTTAATCAAGCATAAATTTTAAAGGATAATTTTGTCTTTAACTAAGCTAATGCATTGCATGCATTAAAACCCATTGCATTGCTAACTAATGCATAAGTTAGTTACCATGGTTTTCTATGCATTAGTTATGCATAGGATAATACCAAATAGGAGGTATAACTAATGCATAAGTTCAAAATGTCTACCAAACAAGGTATTATTAATACACAAAGCTAATGCAAGCATTATTTTATCTAATGCAACCTACCAAACGACTCCTTAAGAGAATTATGAAAGTAAAGGCCCCATTTGGGAGTGTAAAAGCACAATCTTTAAGCATGTGAAGATATTTTCTTGACTAAATCTAGACAACTCCAAGTACTTTTCTTTTCTTATTCTATTTTTTAAAACTCAAGGACAACTCCATGTTTCTTATTACCAACTTGCATACATAGATATTTTGTCCCATGGTCGTATCAATATCTAAATAGGCTAAGTTAGAGACACTAAGAATTGATGACCCAAAAACTCGCGGTCCAGATGGCAAAGAACCTGCTTTCACACCTTCAGACGAACACACTTACAGAAGGAAGAACCTTTAAAAACTCGTTTGGTGGGAAGCTTTACCAAAATGGGTTGGTTCTTCGTAGGCCATTAGAAAACGCAGTGCAAGCTAGGGTGGCCATTAGAAAGGCGGCGGAAGCTACGATGGTAGATGCACTTGAAGCGATACAAGATTTCTTCTCTGATTTTCCGATAAAGAGTTAAAGACCAGGCAACTAGAGTTTCATATGAAAGGCACAAGTGGATGGGAGAAGTTCCATGAAGCTGAAAAGGTGGGAGGAGCAGTCGGGGTGTGTCGATTCTAAGCACAGGATTGGATAACCATTTTGATTTAAGATGCAAAAATAAAATAATACCGGTCCATATGTTTACTGCATAAAAAAGCCCATCATTAAGATAGCCGCTTTAAATAGATGTACATTTAATTATGCTATTGACTACTATTACAATACTAAATAAAAGTAAATTAATCTTATCCACAAATCTCTAAACTAAGAGTAGCTCCGTAGGAAATAACAAAAACTACATACCAAATGTAACATGCTAAGGTGGCGCAGCTGTATAGAGGAACCGACCAAATCCAGTAATGAATGAAGCACAATGCAGTGGCAGAGACATGATTTTATATAAGGGAATTCAAAAATGTCACATATTATGGTATTTGAACATGTGACTTAAAGTAAGTAACCCCCTTTGCCACTTTTCCAGAATATTACTTATTCTAAGGGGTTTCACCAGCTTATAAAACCAAAAATACTAGTTTTTATCCTATTACCGTGTAATTTTTCAGTAAAGATGACTCAATTGAAACCCCCTTCTACAAGCTACCTACACTTCTGGCACAATGTTGTAGAGTCAAAAAAATAAACGGATAAGAAGATGATATTTTAAAGTTGATTCATGAACATGCCGAATTATCTTCTCAATACATATTGTTTAAGATGTTTCCACCTTTCAATCATTTTATTTTATCTCATCTCATTCCTTTCTTCATTGGTCCATCCATCGAACAGTTTGGATCGAACCATGAAAGCTTCTAAAAGCTACTTGAGACCCAAATACCTGAGACTGGATGCCGTCTCTGAAAACAATATGTCCAAGCGTACGGAGGGAAGGGATGACTACTGAAGGGGACTGATGTCTGAAACATCAATTGACATATATATCAGGAAAAATCATAAGTTAGATATGGAAAAGTTCCTTAAATGAGGAAACTGTAACATTCCACTCACTCGAGGAGTCCAACTAGCCGTTGACAAACACCATCACCAATGATGACTTGAGTTTTGCAGTATGTGCTATGAGTAAGACAAGCAAGTACCCAGCATGCAATTGATAGTACCTCTTCATCGGTTAAACTAAACAGGCGAAAAAGTTCTCGGAGTGATGCTCTCACCTGACAAATAAAGTGTAATTACTAATTTGAAGCATCCAATAAAGTTTTACTTTTCATTTTACCAAACTAGTCTCTTGGCACACGTGTTGCAAGTGGATACGTATCAATGATAACTTTAAGAAAACTAAATAAATACTATTCAATAAATGCAAGTTATAAAAATAAAATTAGGGCATGTTTAAAAACCAATGTGTAATTACTATTAGTAATTATACAGCCTATTAATTACATAGTATAGTAATTACGAAGAGTTGTTTGTTTCCCACAATGCTAATATCTAGTGTCACGGATGGTTGCACAAGCGTAGTTACATAGCTAGATATTGTTTAAAGTTAATTTTTAAATAAACTACTTTCAAAAGAACATGCAAAAATCTAACGTGTGCCAATTATATGTGTACATAAGAAGTATTAAATTATATTTATTATTAAGTATTTAAAATATAGATTCTTGTGTAAAAATATACTCCTCCAGTCCTAATTTATATGAAGGTATTCGGATTTTGAGAGTCAAATGAATCCTTCTTTGACTGTGATTATTTCATATGCCTTTTAAATAATTTAGACTATTAATTATTGTGACTTATTCTTAGGTTTTGATTACTACCTGATGTTGCTTTTGCATTGGTTCTGTTGCTATCTTAGAGGTGTTAGTGCTTCTTTTCATGACGCTTTTACTACTATATTTCTTTAACTGATTGTTGTGATTATGCATGCCTTGAGTGTAGGGCCGACCCAAAACAGTCTCTCTACCTGCTCCAGGTTAGGGGTAAGGTTGTGTGGACACTACCCTCCCCAAACTCCACTTGTATATGTTGTTTGTATTAATTATTGCAACTTATAGTACTTTTTACGTAGTTTCCAAAAATGTAAATTTTATTTCAAAAAATTAGAGATTATATGTTCAAATTCGTGGTCAAAATTGAAAATTTTGAATCATGATAAGCGAGAAGTGCCCCTCGGGCTCAGTATCCACAAACCTGCCCCTCGGGCTATATCTCAGTACAAAGCCAGCCCCTCGGGCTCAATCTCATATCACAAATGGGTACCTGCGCTCACTAGGGGTGTACAAACTCCTGAAGGGACCCCAAACTCCTGGAGGGGCCCCAAACTCCTGGAGGGGCACCTCATGGCATATATGTAACTCAGGCCCTCGGCCTCAAATCAGTATCAGTGTTCCTCACAATATAGGCCCTCGGCCTTACTCAGTCCGAAAATCATCACAAGCCCCTCGAGCAATAAATAGACAGTGTTTTCAGCCCAAACATTATTTAAAAATATCATTTAAGTCTTAAATCTTAGAAAGAATGGCTTAATAGTAAAATAGTAGGAATTACCAGGACCGAGTTCAAGTAATAAGTCAAAACAGTGAGGAAACAGTAATAAAAATCCCCGAAGGGTTCAAGTAGTTGGCACGAAGCCCAAACATGGCGTTCAGCCCAAGTCATGGTGATAACAAATAACTTTCAGTCAAATATGCAGTAAAATCATCAATCGGGACAGACCAAATCACAATCCCCAATAGTATACGACCCCGCGCTCGTCATCAAACGCGTATCTCACCTCAATATAGCACTACGATGTATAAATCCGGGGTTTCAAACCCTCAGAGCATCATTTACAATCATTACTCACCTCGAACCAGCTAAATCTCTATCTTGCGACGCCTTTGCCCCTCGAATCGGCCTCCACGCGCGTCGAATCTATCCAAAATTGAAACGGATACGTCAAAATATACTAAGGGAACAAAGACCAAGCGAAAACAGTCGAAAAATACTAAAAATCCTGAATTTAGCAAAACCCGAGCCCCGGTCCCACTACTCAAAACTCAAAAATTTTCACATCATTAGATTCCTCGTCTTCCCACGAGTTCATACATATCAAGAACACAAAAATCGGAGTCCAAATCACCCCTCAAATTTTCATTTTAAGCTTTCTTAAACTCAAGCCCTAATCCTCCATTTTAGCCTTTAAATTCCTTTAATTACAACCCTAAGTCCATGAAAATCTACCATAGAATTGTGTTTTAGGTCCAAAATCCTTACCTTAACGAAGTTCCCTTGAAATCTTCCTTCCAAATCGTCCAAAAGCTCTCAAGCCGAAGTTAAAAATGGTGGAATAGCTCAAACTCGCGAAGGGAAATAACATATATGCTCTGCCCAGTCCTTTTCGCATCTGTGACACCATAGCCGCTTCTGCGGTACCGCATTTGCGGTCTACCATCCGCTTCTGCGAAATTCACTTAAGGGACCAGGTCCCGCTTCTGCGAAACACCCTCCCCATCTGCGACTCCGCGGATGCGGCTAACCTGACCGCTTCTGCGGTCCCTGACAAACTCCTCCTCGTCCGCTTCTGCGGCCAATCCAACGCATATGCGGCGCCGCACCTGCGGTCCCCAAACCGCAGGTGCGAAAACACCCGAAGCAACAAAACTTCAGCAGCTGCAATTACACTTCGATTTCCCCGTTAACCACCCAAAATCATCTCGAGGCCCCCCGGGACCTCAACCAAAGGTACCACCACATCCTAAAACCTTTTTCAAACTTGTTCCAATCATAAAAAATCTTCCGAAATACGCTTTTGATAAAAAACCCGACTAAACCGCGTCCAAATGACCTGGAATTTTACACACACATCCCAAATGATATAACGAAGCTACTGCAACTCTCGGAATTCCATTCCGACCCCTGGATCAAAATTTCGCCTAACAACCGGAAATCGCCAAAATATCAACTTCGCCAATTCAAGCCTAAATCTACTCCGGACCTCCAAAACCTATTCCGATCACACTCCTAAGTCATAAATCACCTCNGGAAATCGCCAAAATATCAACTTCGCCAATTCAAGCCTAAATCTACTCCGGACCTCCAAAACCTATTCCGATCACGCTCCTAAATTACAAATCACCTCCCGAAGCTAGCCGAACCATCAAAACTCACATCCGAGCCCTCTAACATATAAGTCAACATCCGGTTGACTCCAACTTAAGCTTCCTTAAAAGAGACTAAGTGTCTCAAACCTTACCAAAAATCATTCCGGACTCGATCCGACCAACTCGATACCACAAAACACGGATAACGAAGCAATAAGAAGCATAAATGGGAGAAACGGAGCGGTAGCTCATGAGACGACTGGCCGGGTCGTCACAAGTAGCCTTTTTACTATTATAGTTTAAAATAGCAATGACGCCCACAATAGCCCAAATGAGGAAGTAAGCTGGAATTGTAGTGCCAAGAATTATAGGCAAATTGTTTTTCTTCTTCTTCTTCTTTGGCGATTTGGCGGATCGAGTTGTTGGCTGATTTCCTCCTGACGATGAATCAGTGGTCTGGCAAGACTCATCAGATTGACTGCACAAATCTGAAATGCCTGAAATACTAAATATATAGTAGAAAAATTGAGTCAAATTAGTGTTTAGCACATTACAAGTCCAAGAAATAGAACATGTAAAAATTTTGCTAGTTGCTTTTCTTACTCTATGTTTAGTCCATTTTTGTTTGACAATGAGGCAGGTATTGATCCACTGAACTGGTTATTTGACAAATTCCTGGAACAAATCAAAATCAATTGTCACTATTTGTCATATTAAGATGGAAAAATTTAGCATATTTATCATAATAATAAAGTTTAAGTTTTACGCACCGACAATCTAAAAATATTTACATAATGAGATCATGTATCATGTAAACATTATACTGTCAGTGTATATAACTTAAATCAATCAGAATATAACGTATTTATACTAACAGTTCTTTAAGATTCGGTAAGGTGCCAAGGAAATCAGGAATAGGTCCATCCAAATTGTTGTCACTCAAATCACTGCAAAATAATAAAAAAAGAGTAAGAAATTAAAACACCCCATTTGCTAGGAATAATTTGTGTATTTAAA